TATGAGAAGACTCTTATCCTCACTCCCTTTTATGGATTCAGTGTGGAGGTGTCAGAAGGGATAGCACAGACACTCCTTAGCATTCACTCCTCACTGCCATCAAATGGTCAAGCATCACCCCTGGATACCTACAGGGAATAGAATAAATAGGCAGGGTCTTTGGATGTCAGAAGTCTGTGGAGGCATTTTTGGTCTTCTGTCTCAGAAATTGTTAGTAATAGAGGTCTGGCCTCAGTGGTTTAAAAACATTATGGGCTTATTTACATTAAAGGAATTTAAAGGAGACCATGCAGGACTGGTACAGCTGCTACAGAATGTGCTTGGAGAACCAGGCTCCTGTTATCTGCTCCATTATCCTTTAAGCAGAGCTTCCGTCCTTAGGAGCTTCAGCCATGACTTATGTTTTCTCAGTGGGAAAAGAAGAACAACGAGAGAGAAAACAGGTGTTCCTCTCAGTTTTAAAGAACTCTCCCAAGTTTTACTCTCCCAAGTTTTAAAGAACTCTCACCCAGTGGTGAGTGCTTATGTCCCAATGGCCACAGCATGATACTAGGGCAAACAGGGCTGGGAAATGTATTTTCACTGGGTATTTTGTCACCCCATTAGAACCCAGAGTTCAGTACTAGGGAAGTAGGTGAATATAGTGCAGACAATAACAATCTCTTCCACTTTCTCTCATGGCTCCCCTGCAAGGATAGCCGGGATTATTCCCCACTTTATAAAGATGAGAAAACTGACAAGTAGCTGTGAAAACTTGCTCAGAGCCAGTGTTAGTGGCAATGTTGGCCTAAATACCCAGCTCAGAGCTGGCTTTGAATAATGAGAGAACACAAAGACAGAAACCCATGAGCATCTGTGACCAAACACCAGCTGTGAGCCCAGGGCCATCTCTCCCTGGGGAGTCAAACTGGCAGGTGAGAAGGGCTACAGTGGTTGGTGAGGACAAGGGCCACAGGACACTGGGCAGACACCTCAGTGATAGCGCACTCCGTGTCATTTCCTGGGTTGACAAAAGGTAAAATAACTTTGGCCTTGGCTCAGCTGGAACAACAGATGGCAGGAATTCAGCGCAGCTTCCAAATCAGCCAAGCGGCAGACTGCTTTCTGTGTGTCAGCTGAGGCTACTGTTCCCAACTGGTCACAGCCAGCTGCAGAGGCCCAAGACTTAAGACCTGGACAGCTCAGCCATGAACACCTAAGAATGTGCCATCTCTTGCCTGACTGTGAACACCATTGAAAGGACAAACTAGTAAAGTGAGTTCAGCTTTCTACCATGGGCAGGCTCTGATCTCTATGCAGGGCAAGATCCCCTGGTGGCATTGAGATCTAGTTCTGACTCCCTCTGAGCACAGGCCTCTGGCTATTGAAATCACCACCATCTGTTTGAGAGGGACTTGGAGACTCCTTTATCATGCGGCTACCTCCCATGGATGACAGCAATGTGGCCAGGGGCATAAGGGGCACCCAGGACTCATGCTGAAATACATGCTACACCAGTGGAGGCAACTCTTCCCACATCTGGCAAAAGGAAGCTCTTTGTGGAAGGGAAGCAGAAACAAACTTGGGCAGCAGATAGGAATGTGTTCAGTTTTAGAAACAGAACATGAAATGCAGTTTTATTGCAACTCTGGTTAGAACACATGGTATAGAAGGAAGAACACAAGTTTTTAGAAACATGCTTCTCTGTCAGCTGAACATGGTGGGCTCACTTGGGAGAGAATAAATAGGCCCAGAGGAAAAGGAAGTGAGTTCTCTTTTTCACCTTCCAAAAATTACATCAGGTTTGGATTATCTACTCCCCATTCACTGTCTAATTTAAAATGGAACTTTGTTCAGAATTCTACATAGCCATGCTTCCAAAAAAGCTTTTTAAAGTGGAAAGTCTGGATGAAGATCACCACCATACTCCTTCAAGAGAGAAAGTGGGAAAGGGAAAGAAGAGGAGGGGAGAAGAGAGGGAAGGCAAAGTGTGGTAGCCTACTCTGCTGAAGAAAGCACCCTGAAAGGAGCAGTCTCTGTTTCCCTGACATTTGTCTTCCAAGAAGCTTCTGGTACTTCCTGACTACCTGCAGCTTGCACCACGAAGCTTTTCAGACGATTATAAAGAATTTCCAACTCCTGCTCCCTCACCCCAGGCCTTCTGTATTCTTGAGACCTTAGACTCATCAAATCTACACGTGGGCTGCCTGAAGACAAGCTCATGCGGCCTTGAGAAGGCTGGGCAGAAGGCAGCCAGCAGGCTGAGGAACCACCTGGCTTCCCTCTCCTTCCTCTGCAGCCTGGCTCCCTGCCTCCACGAGTGCACAATCAGGACTGAGGGCCTTCAGGAGCCCCCCTTGGTCCTCCAGGGTGTGAGGAGTCAGCAGGGACACACTCCCCATCCCCGCCGGGGCCATCTGCACTCAATTATAAGCCCTTTGGGAGCCAGCAGAGGGCTGTTTTGCTGCTGCTGGTTCTCTATGATTAGCTTGTTCTTGTTTTTTGAATATTGCCACATGGTGCAGCCAGCTGTGAGAAGTATTCACTATTCAAAGCTTTTATTTATTTTTTTCCTCAAAAAGAAAGTGCTAAGCTAGTTGTTATTACTACAAGGAAAGAAAAAGTTTACAAGTCATGCTTTTGGGTAAGTTCTCTACCTTGTGACTCCTATCTCTTCCCAGGACTGGGGTGGTTCCTTTCTCTATTCTCAAGTTTTTGTATAGGCACTTGTTTGTTGCAAAAGAGCCTAAGAAACAGAGATACTCATTCCAGTTTGCACACTATTATCCACAGTTGTATGAACTCTTCTTCCTTGTGTATGTGTGTGAGATACTGGATGTTAAGGTATTCTAAAAAAACCTTTCCATCAACTCAACTCATTGGAATCCACTCAAGAGCCAAGGCCAATACTGAGGCTTACCTTCTAAGTGCTCAGCCAGGAACAAAGCAATACTACTTTGTTTGCACTTGAAATTCTCAGTGTTCTCTGCAGGCAAGAAGAAATTGGTTGGGTTTGGCTCTAGGCCAGCATGAAAATCACAGGGGCTGCTTAATAAAATGTGTATTTCTGGTGCTACCTATAGGGATTCTGACCGGAAATGTACAGGGAAGCATTCCCCTGGTGAGCAAACTCCCAGGGAGTAACAGGTACCCTGTTTCCCACCTTCAGAATGTTCTGTAATCTTTCTTAGGATCTAGTAATATAGCTAATATATATGCAATGTCTAACTGGTATGGCAATGTCCTGAGAAGCCTGTGTTAGAGCCTCATCAAGCCTCAACCTTGATTGCAGGCACATAGGTCCTGGGAATAAAGGAACTTGCTTGTTTGATAACTACAATGGTTCACCAAACTCTGGTGCTCCTGGATCTGCCCGCCTAACAGTAACTTTCTTGAGAACTGCACAAAGCTCTTAACATTGCATATAGTAAATGTGAAATGTAACTGCAGAATAAGCAACCTTACTGATACTCTAAACAATAACGTAGTTATGGTACTAATGACCTAATATAACCTATTAGTATAAATAAACGTGGCCTCCTGGACAAAGAGCCACTCTGCCACTTTCCTGCCTCTGCACCTTGTCTCTTTGTCTACTTATTATTATTATTCCTTAAAACTATCATGGACTTGAAATCCAGGCTCACACACAAATAGAGAGCCAGAGAAGTTGCACATTTGAGATTCTTGTGAATAGTGATAATGAAAGCGTGAGATGAGCTACAATTCACAGGGGGAAAAAAAATATGGAAGGAAAAGACAGAAGTAGTCATGTTGAACTAAGCAAGTAAGATTCATTTCTTTTCTTATAAAATATAGACTCTATGGTAAACAGCAGCTGAAATATGCCAATAACCACAGGGCCCATCTAAGGACACAAAATTCTTGTTGACATGAGTTTTGTTGGCTTCCATCTATCACCTAAAATTTTTGAAACTTAGGAACCCATCAATATGTGGGATAAATGATTTTACCTACCATTCTGAGAGAATAAAAAAAAAGTAAAAATACATATTTAAATACTTAGCAGGAAAACTACCCCACAAATTTTATATATTATATATATATATAAAATCCATTTTAAGTGTGTCCAAGTATGAAAAAATAATCTGTGCCAATTATGGGTTTTTATACTGAAGATAATGGGAATGACTGTGAGAAGGGAGTTTAATATGGAAAGGGAGAAAATTAGAAGGAACCCTGGGGTGTCAGATTAGAACTGAAGGCATTAGTTTGAATTCATGATTTCCAATATATAGACAGAGAAGTAAATTCAGATGTTAGTATATGCACATTGTGTGTGTATACCTGTTTACATACTGCAAATATCCCCAAGGTGAGGCTTCTAGGATGACCAGGGACCAGGCCAGGTGAGTAATACCACCATAATAAGCACACTTAGCACTCAAAAGCTTAGCTTTCAAATAATTTTGCTCTGAATTAGAATAGAATAGAAAAACCTGGAAAGACTTCTTGCTCATAATCTGTACTATTCAGGAGGCTGATGGAGGAGAATCTCAAGTTCCAGGTTATCCTGGGAAACTCAGAGATACCCTGTCTCAAGATAAAAAATAAATAAGTAAAAACAAAAAGGGCTGGGGTATAACTCATTGGTAGAGGTCTTGCCTAGCACATATAGATCCTGGGTTTGAGAATTTTTCAAAACAGAAATGTTGAGTTGGGTGTGGTGGTGTGCACCTGTAATACAAGCTACTCAGGAGACTAAGGCAGGAGGATCACAAATTCAAGGCCAGCATGGGCAATTTTGTGAGACTCTGTCTCAAAAAGGGCTGGGGTTAGAGCTCAGTTGTAGAGCACCCCTGTGTTCAATCTCCAGTTCCACAAAACAAACAAACAAACAACAATAAACCCAAAACAAACCAAAAAAAAAATTTTTTTTTAAAAAGTACAATTTCCTTTTTCTTTTTACGTGATACAACTCAAAAAATGTCAAAAGACACTGGTGTCAAAGATGGATATTTCAACCTTGAGTTCCAACAAAATAATTTCTTAAGACAGAGTAGGAATTGTTATCTTTATATAATGAGATTTTTAATGTATATTTTAAACTAAATTAAAACATTTACCATTATGAGTTACAAAAAGATCAGTGAGTGAATGTACTTTTCTAGGTTGGATTAAAGTAGAATATTTATAACATTTTTAAAAAGTTTGGCTGGGGAAAATATGTTTTACAAAATCTGTGCCATCTAAAATTAAGATGACATGCAACAGCAAGAAGTATTCCACTTTCTCAACAAATCTTCACAAGCAATGCTTTCTTTACATGTATGCTTTCCTTTAAGAAAGTGTCAAACAGGCAAATCTGAATTTACCAAGTATAATAAATTAGAGATAAAAATCATAATAAAAGAATTTATGGCTTATAACAAAAAGATTCACAAATGAAAGTTTCAATTTGTGAATTTTTTAGTCTTTCTAGATCCATCTTGACCTCCAAAGGCTACCAAAATTCACCAAAATTCGGTTGGCATTTAGCCTTTCAGGAACACATGGCCTGAAAAGAAAGAAGTACCAGATAAGGCTGATGCTGCTTTGTGCTCCTTCCTTCTTATCAATTCCTCCCCTGCAGAAGTAATCAGAAATGGGTGCCACTGGCACAGCATCAGTGCATCATGCCAAATACCATGCTCTGTCCAATCAATTTTCATTTTTCTCCAGTGATAAAGAGGTGAACATTCTTCTTGGATTGTAGCATCTGTGCTGCTCGCTCCACACCAACCACAGCAGCTAACCTCTGGGCATCGTATTTGGAATAGAGGACAGTACAGGTCCATGTGGCTTCTTCTCCTCTGCTGGTGGCTTTCAGCATATTACAGATTTCACTGTAGAAGTGAGGATACGTTGGCAGTTCATAGAATATCAAGTTCCTGATACCTTTTATTGTATACCTATAAGAATGGAAAAGACAGAAGCTCTGTCTATGGAGAAACAATTCACAGAAAAGCTAACTCAGAGCTTTACATGGGCATAGTTCACTCTTGCTGCTTGATGTTAGAGGGGATAGACAACAGCACAAAGCAGAGCAAAGCTTATTCTATTTGGTTTAAGAGAAAGATAATATAAATTTGCATTTCTTGAGGCTATTCTACACAGGTTGCGGTGGGGTGAAGAAAGTAGACCAGGATTAAAAAATCTGTCACAGAACAGCTAGGGAAGCTGAGGCAGGAGAATTACAGGCTCAAAGTCAGCCCCAGCAACTTAGTGAGGTCCTGAGTAACTCAGTGAGACCCTGTCTCAAAATAAAAAATAAAATGGGCTGGGATGTGGCTCAGTGATTAAGTGCCACTGGGTTCAATCCCTGGTACCTGCCCCACACACACAAAAAAAATCTGTCACAGAAAATTAAACCTTTACAATTTAATATTACCCTTATTATAATCAGGAAAAATATGATTTGCTTTAATGGAGATGAGGTCAGACCCAGTACATACACTGTACAAATTGTAAATGCATTCCCATTAGTCTATTCCTGTCATCCTGTAGACATGTTAGCTCCATGGCAGATGTCCCAACTTCATCCATTTACAGGATCCTGCCTGAGGACCCATTAGGCATCATGAGAAAGCAATTAGTTTCAACAGCTTACACATTTCCACCTCTTTCCCTGCTGCACAGTTCTGCTCAGTGGTGGTGGGGGTGTAGACCCTAGGGACTCACGGTATGGTTCGAGTCAAGGTCAAATGTTCCCTCTGAGACTCCATAACAAAAGAGTTTATACACTGACAGAGTTCTGATTTTTCCTGTTAAGACTGTCTCACACTTGATGATGTTATATTACCTTGAGAATTTTATTTTATTCCTAAGTTTTCCTACTCTTTTTATCTCACAGCTCATTCTAATCTCTCTGGAGATTCTCTTCTTCCCAATTATAATTGTGATCTATTATATGGTTCACCTTTCAACATCACCTTTCCATAAAGAAGGTTTTTGTTTTTGTTTTTTCCCAATACTGGAGAAAGTAACTAGATACTTCTTCCCACCACTTTAGAGATACAAAATAGAGTGTGGAGGTCTGGTGCCCTTCCTGTGAAGTCTGGAATGAACACGACATGCTAAATCTAAGGAGGACCAGGAGAACCAGTAAACTGCTGCTTCATGCCTTGCAGGCAGTGCCAGTAGGAGCCTGGGTGAAGGGCAAGAGTGCAGAGACAGGTCTTCCTCTGGCACAGGAGTACAGGGCTTGATGACACCTGAGAGATCAAGAAGATACTGACAGAAACCCTGCAGCACTCCAGACCCCAAACTAAGCCTTTTGTCTGCTGGAGGATTCTGAAGACCGAGGTGTACAGAAAATCACCATGGTAACCATCAAATCCAGAGTACACTGGCAGTACACACCTACGCTAATGGCCTAGTGATGAGTACACCACACTTTTAAGTATTATTACCTCAGGCTCCATATTTAATTGAAAATTACAGAAAACATGAAAGAGCAAGAAAAAGATATTAAAACAATAAAGTTTGGGGGCTGTGGCTGTGGCTCAGTGATAAAGCACCTGCCTTGCACATGTAAGGCACTGGGTTTGATCCTCAGTACCACATTAAAAAAAAATAAATAAAGATATTGTGTCCATCTACAACTAAAAAAAGACTTTATTTAAAAAATGAAGTTTTACTTTGACTATAAAGCCACTAGAAATCCTATGGGGTTTTACAGAAATAGGCCAATAGAATAAAATTTATTTTTTTGTGTAAATTTAGTTTTTGGTGGGGGCAGAAAATATAGAGAAGATGAGAACTTGCAAATAAATAGTAATGAACACCAAATTTTTACTTGTATACTACCTTTGTACTAAATTTTCCTTTCAAAATCTATCCTAAGGAAACAACTAGGTAAGTATACCATCAAAATACATGCATATACATGTTCTTGGCATTCTTGTATATAAAGTCATCCTGAGGTATCTGGATAAGCTTGGTTTTAGGACCCCCTCTCAGATACCAAAATCCACACATGCTCAAGTCTCTTATATAAAATGGCATAGTATTTGCATATAACCTATGCCTCCTGTGTACTTTAAATAATCCCTAGATTACTTATAATACTTAATACAATGTAAATGCTGTGTAAGAAGCTGTTACACTCTATTGCTTAGGGAACAATGCCAAGGAACAGTCTGTACAAGTTCAGTGCAGATGCAATTTTTTCTTGGAATATTTTCAACATGCAGTTGGAATGGCACTAACATGTGCCTCTTTATAAGTCGAGGTATGAAGTACACAATATCTCTTGTGTAGAATTCTTTCCCCAAAAAAGTTTGAGCTAAAATAGCAGTCCCCAAATTGATACACACTGAAATCACTTGGCATTTTTGTCTTCAGATTTATGTTTGGCACCCATCCTCAGACATTGTGATTTAATCAGTAATGGGATGTAACCTGGGAATTGTAATATAGCAAACCTTGGGAAACGCTGATCTAATACAAAAGAAACAATTAGATAAATTCAGATTATGGGATGTTCTATAGGAAACTGGATTGGACTCTCCAAAAATTGTGTTATAAAAATAAATATAGCAAGACAATTTCTCAACTTCAACATTACTGACATCTGAGCCACAAATTCTTTGCTGTGGGGTTGTCTTGTACACTGTAGGATGTTTAGGCAGCATCCCTGGTCTCAACTCAACCTCCAGTTCTAACAACTGAAAAATCTCCAGATACTGCCAAATGTTCCTGGGGAGCCAGACTGCCCCTAGTTAAGACTAAGGTAGACAAAAAAACAAGTTGAATGAATATATGATATTTAACTGGATCCTGGATTGTATGTGGCGGGGAGGATAGGGCAAAGGGGAGGGAAGAGAAAGAGGGGGGCATGGGGTAGGAAAAATGGTGGAATGAGATGGACATCATTACCCTAAGTACATGTATGAAGACACAAATGGTGTGATGCTACATTGTGTACAATCAGAGGAATGAACAATTGTGCTCTACATGTGTACTATGAATTGAAATGCATTCTGCTCTCATGTATAACAAATTAGAATTAAAAAAGGGTTGCTAAATTAGAAAAAAATACAGAGATTACTTTGGAGACAACTAGGAAGATTCAAATAACAGATCATGTATTAGATGATACTAAAGTAACATTAAGTGATGTGATAATGATATTGGAGTCAGATAAAAGAATCTTGTTATTTTTAGGAGCAACATACTGAAATATTTAGGGGAGAAGTATCACGAAGCCTTCTGCAACATTCTTCCTCTTTTTTTTTGACAGTGTCCTGCTATTGCCTCAGCCTACATCCTGTACCCAGCTTACAACTTACTTTTAAATGCTTCAGAAAGAAAAAGTAAGAGATAAGTAGAGAGAGAGAATATGTGAGAGTGTGATAAAATGATAACAGCTAGTGAGTTCTGAGTGAAAGGGTTTAGAGACACTTACTGTTAGTCTTACAAAATGAAATCTTTCCAAACTAAAAGTTGGGGGAAAGAAGGATATGTGATAAAATTATGTGTATTAACTTAAAAAATACATCCACATCTGCAAATATATATTCCCAAATATTAAAATATTTGAAATTTTTTTTAATAAGCACATAAAACACAAAATAAAGGAAATGAATCCCAATATATACAGTGTGACTGCAATTTTGGTACTAAAAAAATGTAAATATTTGTGTGCCCACATATTTTGTATATTAAAAATAAAAAAACCAAACAGGAACAATTTAACCAAAAAAAACCAGTATGTTTACCAGGGAAGTGAGATTGTAGTTGATCACATTTTGCTTTTGTAACCTAGATTTTCCAAGTTTTTACAATTGTGCAATACCCTTGTAATTAGGAAAAAGAAAACCACTAGGTGTTATATTAAACACACAAACACAACCAAGAAAGCAAATCCCACACATCCAAGAAAACCTCTTAGTCCCAAATTGCCCACAATAGAGAATAAATATTTCCTGGAAATAGACAATGTGACCAATGTGACAGGACCTTTTCCGAGGGGCAGTTAGTGCTGATTCTTTACTTCCTGAGTATCCCTTTTCCTGGACCCCTTCATCTACCTTTCTCCTGCCTCATAAATGCTTTGAATCTCGAGTGACCTCTACAAATACAGCCTAATGTGACAGGACCTAAACCAAGGGCAATTCAGATGTCTACTTTACCTGCCAAATGTTAATGAGGCAACCACAATTAACCTGAAAGGCTGATCCTTTTGTATGGCATAGAAAGACCAAGTCTATTACTTCTAGAACCTGGGATTCTCATATAGGGGCAGGAAGTACTCCAGTAGCTTTTCCAAACTCTGTAAATCACAACTTCAAAGTTTCCAACTTCCCTTGGTTGAGAATCTTCCCTGCTGAGGTAACCCACTGTTAATACACAGGAAAAGACCTGTAAACCATGCTTGGCAGGGCAATCACGACCAAATGCCCATCCAATCTGGGGTTTCAGCACCTTTATAGAAAAAAAAATCTTCAGGATTAAATTAAATTCTCATTTTCCTAACACTGTCAATTGTCATAGAGAATATAAAACAATTTCAGAGTTGGATAACACAGTTTACACGTACCTCAAGAGCTGGGGATGTGGCTCAGTGGTAGAGCACTTGCTAGCATTTGTGAGGGCTTGAGTTCAATCCCTAGCAACACGCACACATGCACACACACACACACACACGCACACTTTTTATAAGGTCAAATACAAAACCAAATCACAAAGGCATTGTAGAACAAAACACCCATCATCAGTGTGGTGATCTCTCAAGCAAAAAATTCAACAGTTGAAAACCCTGAGATAATTACTGCGTAGAACTCTGAAATACCTTACTGTGTTTCATTCATCTTCAGCACAAGAAATACCCATTAAGTCAGTTCACAGCAAAATACAACTGGCACATACTGAGATTTGTCTTTATGGTGACTTTGGGGGCAACAAGGCTAGTAAATAAACTGTAAGACAAGAAACTGTCCTGTCTACAAAGGGCTCCTCTGATTCCATTCCCTGTCCTTGAAAAGTAGCTAAGATATGTGAGATCAGTCCTTAGCCCAGCACTTGCTATAGACAATGATTCTAGGAAGATTTCCAATCCACCCACTTCATTTAAAGGGCTATCTTTCTTTTTTCAAGCAATAGAAAGCTAGGAGCTTCTAACACCTAGTGAATATATCTGGCCCCAAACAACTTCCAGCATGAATGGAAACCATAGCTTATTAGAACAAAGCAAATAACGGTACCAACAAGCAGACATTCATTAACACTCTTTGGCCAAGCAGTCTTATCTGCCAAGAATGACAGATAAGAAATTTAGTTAATTTTCAACTCTCCATTTAGCAGACTACCTTAAGAGGTCATGTCAGGCCAGCCCTGATGCACCCAAGGGGGCGACTGGGATTCCTCCCTCACCATCCTGGAAAAGAGAACATGGCTGGGAGCACCACTGTAACATCAGTATAAAATAAAAGTCATGCAATGCCAAAGGTGTAACATCTAATGTGATCCAAAGCCAAAGCCTAGAAGACTTCTGGCTCATCTGGGATTCTCTGAGAAAATGCATCATTCATTAGATCAGAACTTAAATTCATTGGCTGTTATTGTGAAATCAGAAAGAAACAAGTAAGATAATGCAGTTTCCATCCCTGTTAGTAGAAATTTTTAAAAAGCCTTTGCTATTGTCAGCAGAGAGATTTAACAAAACAATAAAATACCTGAGCTCTGAGGCCACAAAGAGATTGAACTATCTTGAAGAGTCCCAGAAGGCTTAACTAGCCCTCTAATTAGAATTTAAAAAATAGTAACAATGAAAAGGTCAAGCAACATTTTACCTGTCACCTGGTGGGGAATCTAAGCAAACACTGAAACCCTTAAAAAATTCAACTCTAAATCCTTTTCTTTTTTTTCCTCCTTCCAATACCAAGGGGCCCACCGTTCTGGAAGGTGAAGAAGTTACCATATCCACATCTCCTCAGGATCACTACAACTTTCTGAACATGAGACAGTGCTCAGCTTATATTTCTCTTGACTACAAAGCCCTCAATGCTTCTGTCTGTGCTGCAGTGACAGGTCCCTTCCCTGCCTGTATTTAACTGAGTAGTTCCTGAAGAGTGCAACCAGAGATGCATTTCAGATTTACATACAGGTTACATTCTTGTCCCTACACTTGATCTTAGCCAAAAGGCCGAGAAGCGATACATTCTTGTCCCTATAACCTTTCCAACAACGCCCAATTTGGGGAGGAAACCAAGCAAACAACCAACCTACCAAGATGAGTCTGTCCAGCCCCCAAACCCTTTGGCTTCTCTGTAAGAATGCAAAGCCTACCCTGTGCTGGGAAGCAGTCTATGATCTGCACTGCCTCTCTTCTTCAGAAAGGAGGTGAAAACTGGGCACTACTTTACCTTTTGTAGAAATGGAAGCGTTCTGTGAGAAGCAGAAACTGTTTCTCTCCTTTAAGGAAGAAGTGTCTGGCTCTGGAGATACCAGATTTCTGTGTGTACTCGCAGATATGGGTGAAGTTCAGTTCCTCCTTCTTGAAATAATTTCGAAGACGCACAAAGTCAAAGTAGGACGGGACATAGATGAGTGTGTGTGACATGACTGCGTCACGGTACTGAGGCAAAATCTTGTTTACAAAAAAGTTAAACCTGATTTGGAAAGGCAAAAGGCAAAGTTAATTGTCTAGAGTTGATCCAATAGTATCCACTAACTGTGTGACCCCAGGAAAATCACAATTTCATGTTAAGAGATTAGTTCTTCAGAGGGCAATATGATTTACCTCCTCTCAGAGAGATTATATGAGGATATAATTGTTGATATGCACATTTAAAAAAGTATCAATAGTATTTATTATAAAAAAATATGCAATGCCATTATTTTCCAGAGAATTATTCTAGGAAATATATACCATACCATAGCATTCATTCATTCATTCATTCATTCATTAAATAATCACTGAACATCTTCCATATGCTAAGCACCATTCTGGTAATTAAATACAATGAGGAAAAAGAGGAAAATTTTACACAAAAGAAAAACAGTTCTAGCTCTAAAGGTTTGACAATGAAATCGCGGACATGGGATAACTTGCAGGATTGAGTTTAATTCTCTCATTAAATTTGGTAGACAGTAATCCACAAAAGCAACACTGAATCCAATTCTAACTCTGTAAGCCAAAGTTAAGTCTATGCGGCCCCCAAGTGCCCAAAAGGAGGGGTGGGTTACCTGGAATCAATCACTGAAGCTAGGTTTTCAGCTTCCATCCTCTGGAAGACATGTGGGAGCTGTACCAGCACATGGCTAATGGAGCCTGTCAGTGGAACATTCCTCACAGCCACCTGCCAGCAGTTAACAAAACCTTTAGGAGGTAAGGCATGCCCTGTTGACCAAATCATCTTCTGTTGTATGATCCAATAATAAACAGTGCTTCATGAAGATCCAGAGAAAATGGAGAGAACCTACCTGTCCTTGTAAATTGACACAGTACTTATTGAACACTGAGTTGATCTGGGCATCCTGCAGGGCTCCAAACAGCAGTGTCTGGCGATAGTACTTGGACCAATTATTGAGGCTCCACATTCGCACTCGAGAAAAGTCGACTCCATGAGAGTCCAAGGGCAGTAAGTTCATATGGTTCATCAAATGCTTTGAGCAAAGATAATGCTACCATTAATGTCTACTGAGCACTTATTTGCTGGTCAGAGCTTAGCAGTCTAGAAGTATATCATCTCTCTTAATCTCATAGAGGATGTACTATTATCTTCCAAATTACAGCAAGAAAACTTTGGCATAGAGGATGAGTGACTTACCCATCATCAGCCAAATACCCCCAATATTAAGTTGAAACTGGCCACCTCCTGAACTTTTAAACATAAAAGATCAAAATGGTATCTATTCCTTTAAGAATAGGAACATTCCTTAAAAGGAACTTCTGAAAATGCCACTCTGATTACTCTTCTATGGGCCCTTCACTTCTTGTGAGCTGCAAGTTCTGGAGTTATAGGAAAAGTGAAGTCCCATCTGCCTTAAATAACCAAACCTATAGTTCTATGATAAGGATATCCCAAAGAACAGTTTTTCAACCCTAAAACAACAACACTGCAGAGTATGTGAAGAGGAGCAAAAAATTATAGCATAAACAGAGTAGGGGGATAAAGTCTTCCTATAAAACAAGATCCCACATTAAGAAATCTTAGGCAATGTTTTCCCATCTTCGCTGAAGACCAAAGAGAATGAGCATAAACTGAATGAGGACTTATTAGGTAAGACATTCCTAGTGAGGCTTCTCATCTATTTATTTATGCATGCACACATGCATCCATCCATCCACTGGCAGAAAGAGACCTTTAAAAGGAAGAAATCTTTTCTGTAGATTTGAAAATATTGACAAGAATATTTACCCTCCAGATAGTTTAATTGTTGAATCATCTCTGGGTAGAAGGAAGAAAAGACTTTTTCTCAAACTGGAAAATGTGGAGTATTTCCCTGTCTTCAAACAGAGTTTTGATCTAGACTTACACCTTTTAAGACTTAAGCCACCGAACTTCTTGTCTTTCTAAATAAGAATGTTGTCCCTCTATATGTGAATGACCACATTACCAAGACATGCTCCCAGTTCTGCATGAGGTAAATGTCAGCTTGATCAATGATGAGAAGCTCAATAGAAGACAAAAAGTCAAAATCTCTCTTCTTCTCTCCTTCTCCACCAATAATAGTCCTCAAGCCCAGAGGGGAGGCAATGAGGATGTCTGAGGAGTAAAAGGGGGCATAGAGTCGGATGCTTCTCTGAAGTATTGCCACTCCTACACAAAACCAAGTACAGATTGGCATGTTAGTCGCTTACAAGCTAGTACCTTCTGCCCTTTTAAAGCATCCTCCTCTTTTACACTTGCCACATTTCTCTGTTCCTCTGATCATATACTTGTGCTCAAAGTGCTTTTTTCTTTTGCAGTACTGGAGATTGAACTTGGGGGTGTTCTACCTTTGAGCTATGTTCCCAGACTTTTTTATTTTTCACTTTTGAAACAGGGTCTTAAGTCTACGGCCATACCACCCTGAACGCGCCCGATCTTGTCTGAAACAGGGTCTTACTAAGTTGCCCAAGCTGGCCTGAAACTTACAATCCTCCTGCCTCAGCCTCATGATTATAGGCATACACCACCATGAGTGACTCAAAATGCTTTAATTATTAACAAATAACAATGATGATAACCCCTCCTGTGGCTACAATCCCTTCAGAAAGCTCCCACTTTCATCTTCTTTCCCCCACCGTCAAACTTCTCCAGACAGTCAGTCTTCTCTTCATTCGAGCCTCCCATTTACTTCTTAATCCACTGGCATCTGGCCTCTGATTCTCAGGACTCCACGGAAATGACTCCTGCTGAAGTCCCCAACATTGCTCAGTTACCACTTCAAAGAACCCTCTTTAGAGTTTCTGATCAAGAATAATTATGTGCATACTAAACATATCCTCCCTGAAATCGTACTTTCCTTTCTAGTAATTTTTATAACTTCAACACTTAATTCTGATTATCACTACCCTGATCCTTGTCCATTTTTCCATATCCAAATGCTTCTTCTTCCACAGACCCCTGGCTGGATTCACGTGTCAATTCTACCCACACTCTAATAAAGCTTTTAATAAATATATTCAATGACCGTGATTCTAATAGTACCTTCACATAAACCACATTTCTAGCCCACATTTCCTCCTTTCAGATCAACATGACAACTGCCTGCTAGACATCTGTACATTTCAAATGAGAGAATGACTTATCCCCTTGCACTTTACATTGCATATATACTAAAGCCTGTGTGAATCCTAGGCTGTTTCAGGCTTTGGCACCCAAATACCTCTGCACAGACAGTTTCCTATCTGAAACATTTTCCTCCATTCCAGTTGCTATACCCCTCCGCTACCCCTGCAATAGGCTAAATTTCACTCAGTTTTCAACTTAACAGAAATAGCAGCAATGCTAGGATGGCTTACATAACCACCCATCCATATCTAGGGAAAGGGTTGGCTTTAAATGGTCCCAGAATACCCACTGCATACTTCTTATCCTATATTGTTTGTTTTCCCTTTAGGCAGGACTTCCTTGGCAGAAGGAACCATAACTTTTATTTCTATATCCCCAGGTTCTTACTGGTGCCTGGCATGCTATAGATACTCAGTAAATGTTTGTGAATACACGTGACTAATGCATATTTTCACAAGAACTTTATCAAGGTACAATCAACCAAGTAAATGAAAGCTGGATGAAAAACAAGCAAAATGCTGGGTGTGTGCCTATAATCCAGGGCTCAGGAGACTGAGGCAGGAGGATCATAAGTTCGAGGTCAGCCTCAGCAATATAGCAAAGCCCTAAGCAGCTTCACAAGTTCCTGTCTCAAAATAAAAAGAGCTGGGGATGTGGCTCAATGGTAAAGCGCTCTGGGGTTCAATCCCTTGTTTAAAAAAAAAAAAAAGAAAGTGAAAACCTGGGTGGGAGTTAAATTACATGAGGAGATTATTAGGGACGGGTGATATATACTGTACACAGTAGACAGGATGGAAATCCATCCTTCTGCACAGAGGCTCAGATCTATCTACCTCCCCTATCACTTTCAACTTCCCTAAGAATCCTTTGTAGCCCCTGACTATGTGCTACCAGCTACAGGTAGACTGAGTCATTTGTTATAAATGTGCACGTGGCTTCAGAGACTCCATTTACCACATTAGTCAAGGCAACACCCTACCCTGGCAAACAAGATATCTAATGCACACTGGTTCTATTAAAAGCAGAATCAGTGACCCATTGGGAGAGCACTAATTTCCAACTTTCTAGCCTCTAGCTATAGCTTAGGTCCCATGGTATCCTAGGCTTGACAAGGAGAAATTACCAATCCTGAAGTGGTCATCGATGTTGCCCATAAACACAGCTTCATAATCCTCAGGCCTCTTCAGGTTGGGGGGTCTCTCCTCAGGATCTGATCCATATTCTCCCTGAAACCTCTTTTTGTTGCTCACAATGATTTTCTTCTTGCTGTCACCCTCGAGGAGGCTGATGAAGAGCTGCACTACCCGCAAAGCAGCTTCCCGGAATGGCACCAGTATCAGTACCTGTGTGTGGGGAGGGCAATGACAGCAGTGGTGGGGACAAAAGAAAGGAATAATAGCTCAGGTGAACTCGCTGAGGAAGAGGAGTACAAAAGCCTGCACACAGCAGTGGCCCCTGACTATATCTACATCACCCACTTTGCATAGGGCATGGTTTGGTACTAGAAGCTGAACATCTTTTGTAGCCATAGCACAGGACATTAGTCCAATGGGTCCATGGAACACATACCTCAAACAGAATTTGAGAAATACTTTTAACATAAAAAGACAATGCCTATAATAGATGTATTCACTAGCAAAAACTCAAAAACATAAATACACAATGACTTTGAGAAGGAGTAGTGTTATACATTTTTCTTTGTCCCATGCTGGGAGCCATTAGCCAAGTAGGTATGACAATTTCCTTGCCAGCGTACCCCATGTTGCTTAGTGGAAGGACTGGTGGAAATAGGACATTTTGCAGTGACACTGCATGTAGGTAACCTTGCTCAAGGACCAGGGCGGATTCGGGTTTAGGGCGTTCCCGGTTTAGGTTCCAGGTTTAAGATTATTCCTGCTGGGAATAGGGCATATCCTGCTGCCTGAGTTCCCCTTGGTCCCAGAACTTAGTATAGTATTTTTATCCAGGAGACCCACTCAATAAGTAAATGCTGAATAAATACATGTAATATGTAGAGAAGAAATAAAGAAGATAAGGAAAAGGATTAACACATTATTACTTTTCTAGTACATTCCCTAATATATTTTTCTTGATAGAGCATTTCTGAAATAAGACTATAATTCAATGGGAAAAATAGGAGTTGGTTTCTAAACTTTTTGAAAAAAATGCTTAAAGTTACTGTTAAGAACAAAGAAGACATTTATTAAATGGTTAATTTCTAATTATCCTTTTGTAAATGATATAATAATTAATGAATGCAAACCCAGTCAAATCAGGCAATTCACCAAATTATAAATATGTTTTATGGGTAATCCGTTTCTTATTCTTTTATGCAATGCTAAATTCAAACAGATAACCTTATAATCCTGAGGTTTAAGACTCTGAGGCAGCTTCCTAGAACAGCATCCAGGTAAGTCAAAGGAGTGCAGTGATTCAGTACACAAATGATGAACCAAGATTAAGAGGGCTGAGTTATCATCCAGCTGGGACACTATGGAAGTGGCTCAGATTTGGTTTCCCCAGCTAGCAAACAAGGGAGTTTGACTAAAAAATCTCTAGGAGCCACATCAGTATCAATATCCTAGAACCCAATTAAGCTCAATGCAAAATCTAAAAAGATAAGCCTTTTTCAATATGGAGAGACACAGGCTAAAGGGTTGAGGGGGACAAAGCCTTAGCTCCATAACATGAAAAGTGTAGACAGAATTAAGAAGTGCCTTTCCTATTAAAGCCTCACATCCAATGGAACTTAAGACTTACCAGCATAAATAAATGTAGTCATAACTTTAAGTAGCACTAACTTTAGAGCAGTGAAAGCGGATTTTTGTTTTCAATGATTTACATATTCATGCTGCTTAGTAAAAAGAATCCTCAATTCCAATCCCATCTCTGCTACTCTTTCTCTGGTTCTCTTTAACAAGTTCCTCTATAAATACTACATATTCATGCTGCTGAGTGAAAAGAATCCTCAGTTCCAATCCCATCTCTGCTACTCTTTCCCTGGTTCTCTTTAACAAGTTCCTCTCTAAATATGGGTCTCTGACCCTAGCTATGTTACAGAGGGATTGGGTAAAAGGTTCATTAAGGTCCCATCCAACTCTAAAAACCACAAGGAAGAGATTTATAATGTAGTGTTCTTTGTGTATGCTCTGGGTTTGTCTTTCAGAAGAGTATCCTGAATTATACCCTTTTTATAGTTTTCACTGTCAGAAATAGTCCACTGTGCTGTCTATAGCACTGCTCTGATATTATCTGGCCCACTTAATATGCTCATTTTGGGGTACATTCATTATTCCAGTCAATTATTAAAACACTCAAGTACAAGCTAAGTGCCAGACACCTATATGACAGTACCTTGAAGCTTCCTCTTTAAGGGTAAAATTTCCTATTGTCACTCACCTTGGGCCTCGTTAGCCCTTGGTCCCTGAAGTCATCATCATCACCCACCCCAAGTTTCTGGCTTCGGCGTCTGCTATTGTTGCCAAGCACCTGGGCATTGGCTTTAAGGACATGATTTATCACATGCAGGCAGTATACGTGACGGATTTCTTCCCCATTCTTCAGGGCAGTCCTTTCTGGGTAGAATAGGTCCCGGTAAGAATTCATAATTAAGAAGAGCTCTTTCTGGAGGGGAGTGAAGGAACTATTTGATTTTGGAGGTCCAGATAAGAACTGGCTGTTGGTTTTGGTCCAAGTGGATTCCAAAGGCTTCTGGAGATGAAGTGACTTTAAGTCAATATCCTTTGGAGGCTTAAATGTTTCCAACTTCTGAAACTTGGATGAAAAGACAATCTGACCCAGGATGGGCCACTAGGGGAAAGACAGATCAAGAACTAAGTTAGAAATCAATAATAACACTTGGCATTTAGTAAGTACTTTATAATATACCAAGAACTTTCAGTATTTATAGATCATCTCATTCAATCCTCACACAACCCCCCACAGAAGAGATGCAATAATACTCATATTACAGTGTAAGAAATGTTGAGGCTCACACACAGATAGTAGAATCCATACAAAGTTTACACAACAGGGAATGAAACAGAGGGCTAGTGCTCAAGGCTTCTGACTTCAAATCTGAACTCTTTACTCTACCAGGGTTTCCCATACTGTTCTGTGGAACACATTTGGGGAAGAGTCAAAAAAGGGGCTCTGTGGTCAAATAACTTTGGTAAATATCACAAAATCTAATTCCCTTCAAGATTCACAATGTACATTAGATCCTTAAGGTTATGGAAAGTCTTAAAACAAGAACTCTAAGTTGTTTAACCCAGAGTCTTCCAAATTTATTTGAAAACAAAATGATGTTTTCTTTATTTTTTCTTTTTTGTCTTTTATTTGAGATATACCTGTTAGAATCCTAAAAGGAATATAATTTTGTGGGACATGCAGCAAACTTGCTGGTCTAAAAATAGATTACTACAGCATGATTCCATTTAACATTTTTGAAATAACAAAATTACAGAAATGGAGATCAGATTAGTGGTTACCAGTGGACAGGAATGCAGAGTGCAAAGGGAGGTAGATGTGGTTATAAGAGAGCAACAGGAACCCACCCACAATGTTATGAATGTTCTGCACTTTGACTGTGATAGTAGCTACAGGATCCCACAATGACAAAAATGTATAGATCTAAACATACAGAGCTGAACAGGAGTACAACTGGAGAAATCTGAATAAGATACATAGATGGCATCAATGCCAATTTCCTTGTTGTGATACTGTAGTTCTGATAGATAATAACATTGGGGGAAGCTGAGTAAAGGGCACAATAGGTCTCTGCATGACTTCTTATACCTGCATGTGTAGCTTTAATTAAAACCTCAATAAAAACTTGTATTAAAAAGAGGATAAACAACTCTCATGAACAATATCAGTGGTAAAAACAAAATAAACTCTGCCCAACATGTGAACAATTTACTTGTGAACAATCCCAGATATCTCAAACAAGGGAAAAATAGGGGTATAAGATGAGCATCCCTACTCCAAAAATCTGAAATGCTACAAAATTCAAATCTTTAAAAAGTTTCAAATTTTGATCTCTCACCCTGCACAAAAATAAACTCAAAATGGATCAAAGACTTAGACACTAGAACAGAGACCCTGTGCCTAGTAGAAGAAAAAGTAGGTCCAAATCTTCATCATGTTGGCCTAGGACCTGACTTCCTTAACAAGTCTCCTAAAGGGTAAGAAGTAAAATCAAAAATCAGTAAATGGGATGGATTCAAACTAAAAAGCTTCTCAGCAAAGGAAGTAATCAATAATGTGATGAGAGAGCCTACAGAATGGGAAAAAAATCCTTACCACATGCATCGCAGAGTACCAATTTCCAAGATATAAAGAACTCAAAAAACTTAACACCAAAAAAACAAATAACCCAATCAATAAATGGGCTAAGGAACAGAACAGATACTTCACAGAAGAAATATAATCAATCAACAAACATGAGAAAATGTTTATCATCTCTAGCAAATTAGAGAAATGCAAATCAAAACTATTGTAAGATTTTATCTCACTCCAGTCAGAATGGCAATTATCAAGAGTACAAGGAATAAGTGTTGGCAAGAATGTGGGGGAAAAGGTACACTCGTACATTGCTGGTGGGACTGCAAATTGGTGCAATCACTATAGAAAGCAGTATGGAGATACCTCAGAAAAGTTGGAATGGAACCACCATTTGACCCAGCTATCCCACTCTTCGGTTTATACCCAAAGGATTTAAAATCAGCATACTGCAGTGACACAGCCACATCAATGTTTACAGCAGCCCAATTCACAATAGCTAAACTATGGAATCAACCTAGAGGCCCTTCAACAGATGAATGGATAAAGAAAATGTGGTACATATACACAAAGAAATATTACTCAGCCTTAAATAAGAATGGAATTATGGAATTTGCAGGTAAATGAATGGAACTAAAGAATATCATGCTAAATGAAATAAGCCAATCCTCCCAAATCAAAAGCAGAATGTTTTCTCTGACAAGTAGATGCTGATCCATAGTTGGGGGTGGGAGGTGGGGTAGGGAAGAATAAAAGAACTTTGGTTTGTGTAGAGGGGAGTGAGGGGAGGGGTGGGGCTGTGGGGATGGGAAAGATAGCAGAATGAGACAGATATTATTACCCTATATATATGTATGAGCACATTACTGGAGTGACTCTGCACCATGTACAACCAGAAGAATGACAAGTTGTGCTCCATTTGTGTACAATATGTCAAAATGCATTCCACTGTCATGTATAGCTAATTAGAACAATTTTTTTTTAAAGTTAAAAAAAAAGTTTCAAATTTTGGAATATTTTGGACTTCGGATTTTCTCATTAGAGATATCAATTGGTAATGTCTATGCAAATATTTCCAAATCTGAAAAAGTCCAAAACCTGAAATACGCCTTGTCCCAAACATTTCAGATAAGGGGCATTCAGCTTATATCTACTATTATTACTCAGTAAACTAAATTACTTTATTTTTGGGTAGCATCACTCTCTCCCTCTAACCTGAGATCAGTAAAGTGGAAAGAGGAAAATTAAGTTGCCATAGGATATGTGACAACCCTCCTTGCAGATTCTGGTCTAAATCCTGGAGCACCTGTCTCCAAGGCATCTCTTTCATATCATTGTATTATACCGTATTCCCACTCCCACTTCCCAGTGCTTCTTCTAGCTATACCTGTGTCCCCCTAGGCTGTTCCAGCCTTCCAATGTCCTGCTTCCCTAACAAACCATGTACTATTTGGTATATACCATATATTCTAGGAACCCTCTAAATCAAAGACCTCTGTTTTATTTAGAGTTTTCTTCTTTCATGACTGGGATTACCAAACAACACTTACTTTTAGCTGATGGGTAGTTTTGGGATTTGTGGCAACAGCCTGAATTTCTTTTTCTTTCAGTTCTTTGTTCACATGTTGTACAAATGGATCTAATTCAGAATAAAGAATATTGATACCTTTAACACAAATGGCAGGGGTTTTCTGGGCTTCCCCTATGCTGATTTTCATGCTGCCCACTCATACCTTTTTCCAGCTGCTTTCCCCATCCCCTATCCCCATCCAGAGCCTAAGAGTTCCTGAGAGGTTTATCTCCTAAAGAGGTTCTTTAATCATATTATTTCCAGCTCAAAAACCTTTGAAGAAACTTTCTGGCCCAAAATTTAGAGCATTATAGTCTATACCTCCAACCTGCTTCTTTAGTAATTTCTATTTGGCCCTAAAATTCTTTTGTCTCTGTATTTTTCCTTCCTTTAACTAAGAATTCTAGCCTCTCCTTCATCTTATATTTTTTATATTCAAAAAGTATCAATGCGGGGCTGGGGTTGTGGCTCAGTGGTAGAGTGCTTACCTAGCATGCATGAGGCACTGGGTTTGAGTCTCAGCACCACATACAAATAAATAAAATAAAGATCCATTAACAACTTAAAAAATTTTTAAAAAAGTATCAATACAATATTACCTTGACTCAAAATAAATATTTCCCAAGGGCTCACAAAGTATTGGCTCCACTAAGTGGCTGTCCTAGGTTCACTACTGACAGTCATCCCTCTCTCCACTCAAGTCCCCTACCGCACACCTCACCTCTCCCAATACATGTTATGTGCATTTAGTAGAGAACAAGATCCCTGAAGGAAGGTTCCATGTCAGATTGATCTTATATTGAAATACACATAAAAGCTCTACCTAATTCAACTAAAATGAGCAAATGATACAAATGATAGTACTACATTTTGAATAATCTTTAGTTCTTTGAAGTGCTGACTACACAACCTTCTCTCCCAGTCTGCTCATTAAGAAATGAAACATTTAGGGCTGGGGATGTGGCTCAAGTGGTAACGTGCTCACCTGGCATGCGCGGGGCACTGGGTTCGATCCTCAGCACCACATAAAAATAAAATAAAGATGTTGTGTCCACCGAAAACTAAAAAATAAATATTAAAAAAATTCTCTCTCTCTTTAAAAAAAGAAAGAAAGAAAGAAATGAAACATTTAGCCAGGTGTAGTGGCATGTGCCTGTAATCCCAGCAACTGGGAGGCTGAAACAAGTTTGAAGCCAGCTTCAGAAACTTAGTGAGGCCATGAGAAACTTAGTAAGACACTGTCTCAAAAAATAAAAAGGTCTGGGTATGTGGTTTAGTGGTTAAGCACCCCTGGGTTCAATTCCTAAACACCCCCAACCTCCCAAAAAAGGAACATTAAAAGTTAAATGACTCATTTAAGGATCCAAATGAGAAAACTTCAAATAAAATACAACTTGTATTAAATGCCTAAGATAATAGTGAACAATACTATGTAAGAATTCTATGTGCTAATAAAAGTATCCAGAAAAACTTTAGGACAGTTAGGTTTCCTAATGTTTCCTCCAGGGTTTCTAAATTTTGTTGGTTTAGAATGTTTGGAGTTTGTGCTAAAATTCTATAAATTCTACCTGTTATTTTTCCTTCTCTTGCATAATGGCAAACACAACTAAATGAGCAAATGAGGGGAAAAATTTCAGTTAATGGTAAAGCTAGATTGAGGAAGGGCACTAGGAGTAGGAAAGGCAGTCAGAACACAGAATGACACCAACCTAACTTGGCTCACCCAGGCACAGACTGAAAAAAGACCTGTTGAGAGAGACTTGCCTAAGCCTTCACAGAATATCCTGTTCAACTGAATGTTGATCGGATACAGAAATAATTAAGAAACTGAGGAAGATGAGCGAGACAAAAAGGAGTTTAAATTTTAGAGGTCCTCCTTGGTAAAAAGGACCATCCAAACTGGCCACTTCTGGGTCTCACAAATCTGAAAATTTAGTGCTACTAGGAAGAATAAGTAAGGTATAGAAAGAAAAATGGGAAGTACTTTCTCATTTTATTTTCTCTTTTTTTCCTGCTTGGGAAGAAAATCAGTAGTATTTCTCTAATCCTAAATCCAGAAATGTGAGGCCTGGGGAATTGGCCTTCCCTACTACCATTCTTAAGCTGTTCACGCTCTTAAACATCTCTATTCCCCAACACCAACTACTGAAAAACACAAAATATCTTGAGAAGTAATTTTTCCCAGCTCTAGATTTAACCACTAAATTATATGTTTTTATTATTGCTAGTTCCAGTATAAGGAGACAAAGCATGTATTAGTGTCTAACCCCACCCACCAAGCACCTGGTGAATTCCAACAATACATGCTGTGCTCTGACCTTGTGATACTTTCGGGGAACAGTTGTCTCCACTTTCCTCTTCCAGAAAATTGGTTTCCAGGCTGAACAGTGACTCATGTTTGGCATCTGTGAACTCCTCTGGGGATATGTCTGATGTGCCAGGTGGCTCTTTCCCATCTTGTCCCTCGGGGTCAACAGATAAGGTCACATCTGTAATTTTGAAAAATATTTTATTATATTATTTACTCATAAATATAATAATACTTTTGTTGAAAAATATAAATTCTTTAGCTTATATCAACATTGATGTTCACTGCTATTCTGTACTTTTTGGTGGAAGACATAGATTTCAAAATTAAGCCTGATTGTTGACCTGGTATAATGTTTAATTTGGTCAACTTAGCTGGGCCTCAATGCTTAGATATCTGGTTAAACATTACTTGGGATATTTCTGTAAAGGTGTTTTAGATGAAATTTACACTTAAATTGGTACACTCTGGATGACTTGGCCTTATCCAAACTGTTGAAGGAAGGCCTGAATAGAACAAAAGAAAGGGTCGATATCCTATAATCAAGAGGGAAACTTTTTTTAGTAAACTGCCTTTAAATTTTAACTCCAACAAAGGCTCTTCCTGAATCTCCTGACTGCCTTTGGAGCTGAACTGCAACTCTCTCCCTCCTGAGTCTCAAGCCTGTCAGCATCCTCTATCAGATATTCTGCATTTGCCTCATGACCACATGAGCCAAACTCCTTAAAATATATCTCTTTCTATATAAACACATCTGATTAATTCTGTTTCTCTGAGAACTCTGATTTCCAGTTCTAGGAAATTACTCTGAAATGGTACACCAAAAAGTACATGAAAGGATTTTCAAAGCAGCACTAATTATGGTAAGAAATAACTAGGAAAAAAATGACATGTCTATAAATGGAATGTTAAATAAATTACCACATATCATTTACAACTGAGCACGATAGTTACAAGTTAAAGTGAATCCAGTTACATTACAGACATAGGAAAAAGCCTATAGCAAATTATCAAAGAAAAAAATAAGTTATAAATATGTATGAGACCACTGTACATATACATACAGATATAAGTACATACTTGAACTCATACACATATCAATAAAAACACTGTCTTGCCGGGCGTGGTGGCACATGCCTTTAATCCCAGCAGCTCAGGAGGCTGAGATAGGAGGATTGCGAGTTCAAAGCCAGCCTCAGCAATGGTGAGACCCTGTCTCTAAAAAAAAAAAAAAAATACAAAATAGGGCTTGGGATATGGCTCAGTGGTTGAGTGCCCCTGAGTTCAATCCCCAATACCAAAAAAGCCCAAACAAACAACAAAAAACATGGTCTGAAAAGTTCTAGATACAATATTAAAGGTGCTTATTTATGGGTGGTAAAGATAGAGGGTAACCATACTCTACCCTCTTAAAATTTCATAGTAGATATGCTTTATGTTTCATTAAAAGGAAAAAAAATTCATAAAAACCAACAAACAAAAAATCCAAACTAAAACTCCATAAACTCTAAATCTCAGGTAATAAATTTTTATCCCAGTAAAGTTGATTAGTTAGAATACTAACAATGATATGTGACACCTTAAAGTACAGGAAAAAGTCGGCATTAAGATAGTAAGATGTGAAGTCACCTGGATATATTCAAGAATGAAATACTGCTCCAGAACCAAAAAGGAATGAACAAGTAAGATGTGAACATGAATGCATCACAGTAACGTGAGCAGCAAAAGACGGACAGGAAAGGGTTCAGAGTGCGAGATCCAATTTATACAAATTTCTAAAACAGATAAAAATAATCTATAGTGAGAGAAATCAGGCCACTGGCTGCCTGATGTCAAAGGTGCGAAACTGATGACAAAAAGACAAAATGGAACTTTTTGGAGGTAATCGAAATATTCCGTATCTTGATTTGTGGTGGCGATATTTATTCACTCATCAAAACTCATTTAAATTGGGCACATTTTTCTGTATGTAAAACACACCCCTAATGAAACTGATTTTAAAGTTAAAGAAAAAAGTCACTGAGAAGTCTGAGTGATGTCAGGCAGTGGTACACACTTACAATCCCAGAAACTGAGGAGGTTGAGGCAGGAGGATGGCAAATTTGAGGCTAGCCTGGACAACTTGGTGAAATCCTGTCTCCAAAAAAAAAGAAAGAAAGAAAAAAAAAAAAAAAAAGACGACTGTGGATGTAGCTCAGTGGTAAAGTATCCTTGGGTTCAACTCCCAGAATTAAAAAAACAAAAGCCTGAGTGAGATGGAGTCCCTTTGGGATTTCAATTCCAGTTCTTCCCTTAAGTCTTCCCTAATTTATCCTGTCAGTATACAATGGTACAACCACTCTGTATCTCTTCAACACCTTATGCTTGAAAATTTTTGTCTACCTTTCATCAAATTTGACCTCCCTAAGGAAGGAACAGTAATCTATTCAAAAAACTGAGAGGTCATAATAAAAAATTATGTTCTTCCTTGGTGTCAGGGAATGTTTCAATTGCATGACAAAGACCCTGAAATAGTAGCAAAATGATATTTCTGCATTTTTCTGGCAAGGGAGCTCTGGGTTTCCATCAGATTCTCAATATATAGTCAAACCCCACAAGATTAAATCTCTGCTCATGCCCAACTTACTCCATACAGGAGGGAACTGTGCCCAATCTGCACCATCTGGCAAAGATAACGAGTCAACACCAAAACACTTACTCTCCTGCATCTTAGTAGATGCTGTTGCAGTTTCTTCTTCCACACTGACATCATCATCAGCACTTTCATTGTTCATTTCTGCATCATCTACAACACTGTCTTCCTCCTCTTCTTCCTCCTCTTCTTCTTCATCTTCTTCCTCAGAAACATTCTTTAATGAAGCGAGTAGTTTGTGGTACCCAGAAACTTGTTCTGGTTCACTTTCTGACTCACTTTCTGAATTTGAACCATCTGAACTCTCCGACTAAAAGGAAAATGGGAACTTTAAGAACAAAAACTGTATTTTTCTCATGGTCACCCTAAGACTATTATCAAGCCAACAGGTTCAGACTTCCTTAAATGAAAACAAACTTTGCTACTTCTATGCAATTTCATCTATTCAACCAAGCTCAGTGCCAAATTTACTTAAGACAGGAAAACTAGCTTGGAGTTTATAAGCTCTTCTATTCTCTGAACACTAATGCTCCACATGGTTAGAAAACTGACTTTTAAAAAACAGAACTTAGGCATGGTGGCAGACACCTTTAATCTCAGTTCCTCAGGAGACTGAGGCAGGAGATCATACATTTGAAGACAGCTTGGGCTCCCCAGCTTGGGCTGGGGAGACTCTATGTCAAATATAAAATTAAAAGGGCCAGGGATGCAGTCAGTGATAGAGTGCTTGCCTAGCATGAATAGGACCCTGGGTTCAATCCCCAGTAAGACAATAAGCAAACAAACAACCCCCATGGAACTATAGTTTATAATGAGACTGAATTTATGTCCCAGATATTAGTCTACATGTTAAAAGGACCAATAGGAAAATTATAAAACAACAAAAAATGTAGTATCTTTGAGTTTGTTGTAATAAAGGAACATTGTTCATTTGCTTTTATGCTAAGCAAAAAAGAATGCATTAAAACACCCTCTGATAAACTTCTTTACCAGGGTCTAACAGGCTATCATCAAGGGACAGTCTCAAATTCTGGCTTCTGTACAAATTATCACAATAGAATTTTTAAGGTCATTTACATTAAAAAAACTAAGCAATATTACTAAAATAGTAGCTTACATCTTAACTGAAGAGAACAGAAATGTAATAAAACCATATATATATATATAATCTTAAAGAACTAACTATTATAAAGAAGGTATAAAGCATTACCAGTTGACAAATCTGTGGTTTGGCTTCCTTTCCAGAAACCCTGAGAAGAAACAGGGAATGTTAAACTCTACTAGTTTGTAATAATTACAAAAATGTCTTATAATTTTAAATGAAAAGGACAGAATACTATCAAAAGTACATTATAACCCAATGTGGTAGCTCATGCTTGTAATCCAGCCACTCAGGAGGCTTATACAGGAGGATCACAAGTTCAAGGTCTGCCTCAGCAATTTAGTGAGGCCTTGAGCAACTTTGCAAAACTCCTTCTCAAAAAATTTAAAAGGGCCTGGGGATGCAGTTCAGTGGAAAAAGTGCCCGTGGTAAAAATGTCCCTGGATTCAATTTGCACTTAAAAAAAAAAAATTGTAAAAACTGCATACTCACTTGGACAAGAATTACAAGACTATGACAAACCTGTAACTGGCAAATGAGAAGTTTAATGACATGACATGTCAAAAACGAGTCACATAGTAACTGGCTCTCACCAAAAGGATACAACTTAGCAGAAAAAAGCCTCGAGGTTCACCTTTTCCAAGCAAGTTTCTTAATTAGAATATACTTCTAACTACAGATAAAGCAGCCCAACGTGGTCGATAAGCCCTAAGACAACCTATCCGGGCATTTCCAGAGGACCCACAATCACCGATACAGCTGCTCCCTTACGGTAATTGGATATGTGAATACTGTCAAAGGCCCCAACCAATTATTTAAACATACACCTTAGAAGAGCTCTGCCCACACAGAATGAGTGTGTCGTTCAGTCTAGTTTCGGACTCAACAAAAACTAGAAGACGCGTGAAGACCCCTGTCTCCCAGAGTGATGCCTCCAGAATCCTCCCCAGCCGAACACTGAGGGAGCCGCGGAAGTGTGGGGAAAGGACCGAACAGCTAATCCTGGGACCTGCGGACCCAATCTGGGAAATGCCGGCTCACACCGGGGACAGACGACAGCAGAGCTGGCCCCAGGCAAGCTCCTCCGGACCTGTCATAGAAGGGATGCTCCTCGCCGAAATCTCTCAGATGCTTCTTCTGTTTTTTCGTCAGGTTACTGAGTAGCTGGCTCTGGCTCCTGCTCCCGCGTTTGCCCATTTCTCCCGCCTCAGTCAAGTTTTCACCAGGAAATTGTCACATCAACACAAGCATGTGGGCTCGCCCACGGCGCTTTACGGCGGAAGCACGGTGCCATAAAGCAGATCCGCCTTACGTCGCGCTTGTACGACCCGAGCTAGAACTTCCGGGTCCAGATCCCGCCCTCTGCCGACGTTCTTTGGAAGAGTGTGCACGCGAGCTGGTTGCGTTCTCTGAACCGCAGAACTTTGACTACGCAGGTCTAGGGACTTCCTGGGGTGGATAATAGGTCTGGGTAGAGGCTGGGAATTTGCTTTGTGCTTCTGTGTTGGTTGTGGGAAGCAGCCAGAGTAAATGGGTAGTAGCAGAAACGGTTGAATGCAGTGACTTTAATATTGTACTATGTTAAAAACTACCAACTTTTAAGGTTGCTGTCACATCTTACTTCATCGTCACAGTCTTGTTAATAAGCCTGATGTGCAGATGAGGAAATTGATGTAAGCATGAAAAGGTTACCCACTAGCAAGAGATGAGATGAAAAACCTGACTTTGTCTAATGCACACGTGTGCTTTTACATGAAGAACCCAGCTTCAGAGGTGAGGTTTCCATCCTCACCCCTGAATTTTCTGAGAGTATTATCAGAGCCCCTTGGAAACAATCTTTTCTCTCATTCTTCTTTTGACAAAAGCAGAAACACATCCAGAGAGGTGAAGTGACTTTCCTAAAATCACCCCAAGAGTCAATGTTAGAGAAGACTGTGTAACTAAATCTATTATCTCAAACCTGACCTCGGGCAAAGGAGGATGAAAAACTTTAAGGTGAAGGAACCGTTCCGTCTCAATTGCGTGGTATTTGCATGTTGTATACAATTTCCAAAAAAATAAATAAAACTGTACACTTAAAAGGGGTGGATTTTACTATGTTTTAATAACAACCTAAATATAGGAGCTGGGACTGTAGCTCAGTGTTAGAGCACATCCAAGAGGCCCTGGGTTCAATCCCCAGTACTGCAAAATGCCTAAAGAAACAAAGATGGAAAAGCAAACTGGGTGTGGTTGTGCACACCTGTAATCCTAGCCCCTTGGGAGACTGAGACAGGAGGATTGCAAGTTCAAAGCCAGCCTCAGCAACTTAGACTGTATTTCAAAAAATGAAAAAGGACTGGGGCTGTGGCTAAGCAGTTAAGTGCCCCTGGGTTCAATCCCTGGTACCAAAACAAACAAACAAACAAAAAAAAAAAACCCAGAACCCAGATACACAGCAGTGTGCGGGCCTGTTTGAGACCACAGGATAACCAGAGTAAAACATTTTTTTTCCTCTAAGTCTTGAGTTTTGCTGAACAACCTGCCACACTGTAGATGTTATAATACAACTACCAGACTGCTATTGTTGTCCATTCTTGGCCACTGACTACTTCTAATTGGAGTTCAAGAGGCTGGAGTGGGGAAGAAAGGAGAGGAAAAAAATATCAAGACAATGTACAAACCGGCAGTGGTGCCAAGCAGCTGGCCCAGCCAAGGAACCCATAAATAGACATCTGTCTTCTGTCTAGGTTCAAGATAAAAGCTAGAGTAAGTCAACAAAAGACTGTTTGCAAAAGGTCATCATGTTTTAAGGTGCTGATTATAATATAACCTGGTTGTAAGAATAAAGACCCATACTTTTTCTCCTTTCACCATATTACTATTGTTCCAGCTTCGCTCCCCAGAGGCACCCAGTTTCTTGGTGTTCTTCCAGAGATCTTCCATGAAAAATTCTTATATTCTTGAAAACTTGAGGTGTTGCTTATTGTCTCCTAGTTTTCACATCCTTGTGGTCCAGTGTAGAGGTCTAACCTATTAGATTGAGTAAAAAAATGCATCCTGGACCCACCCAACCTATTATTGGCTGAGTAATGGAAAACAGCCCTCTTTCTCCCCAAAATATTTATATTAGCTTTTGACAAGATAAAAGGGATCATTTGTGAAAAATGAGCCTGGTAACCAAGAATTCAAACTTTTTTCATGTCCCTAGTGGAAGTTCTGTTAGTATAGTTCACACAAAGATGTATATGCCAACAAATGAAAGGCCTAGGAACGTTGTAATGAAGACAAGATTGTTCCTCCCCTTTCTTCTTCCCGCCCTCATCCCTGCCTTTTCTCTCTCCTTTTACATCTACTCACAAGCATTCAGTATTTTCAGGGTTAAAAGTAGTGCAGGAGATAATCTTCCGTATTTACAAAGAGATATTAAAGGATTAGTAAGTTACTCTTACTGGGGTATTTGCAATTCCCAGAAGACTCCCTCAGATAATGATCTCAAGAGTTGGGAGAAGGATGACTACCCATTAGGACAGGAATATCAAAATATTCAGAAATTTGTTAATAATTTAAAAGAAAACATTCTATGGAAAATTTCTTCAAGTACAGCAAATACAAAACTAGACAAACTGGTATGATGAATTCCATTTACCCATTATTCAAAAATTATCACTCAAGGTTATCTTGTTCTACATATTTGTATATTCACTGCCCCTGCCTATATGCTGTATTAGTTTTTTAAGGCAATCCCAGAAATCATATTATTTCATCTATAAATATTTTAGTATCCACTTCTAAAAGACCAATTGTTCTTTCTTCAAACATAGCCATATGGCATTATTTTACCTAAAAGATATTAGTTGTGTAATATCTTCATATATTCAATTAGTTTTCTATTTTCTGATTGTCTCATAAATGTTTTTGTTTTAAACTTTGTTGGTTTAATTTTAATGTATTCTGCTTTTCTCTATTCTGTGAATTGGTTGTTAGACCTAGAATGTTGTGTATGTGTGTGTGTGTGTGTATCTATATATCTATATCTATCTATATCTATATCTATATATATATATATATATATATGTGTGTGTATATATATATATATATATATATATATATATATATATATATATAAATTACATGGACACAATACCTTTATTTTATTTTTTTAATGTGATGCTGAGGTTTGAACCTAGTGCCTTCCACATGCGAGGTCAACACTCTACCACTGAGCTACAACCCCAGCACTGGACCTAGACTTTTGATCAAATTTTTTAAGAGTTGATATGTTATACTTCTATCATAAGGCATATGATGTCTAATTACGTTCCTTTTGTGATGTTACCAAACATGATACACAACGTCTAAATTCATTAATGCATTCTAATTCTACCTTAGGGGTAATATTTTAATTCTATCTTTTTTTTTTTTTTTAGAGTGGGAAGTTGAAGCTTTATTAAAGGACACACAGCAGAAAAACTTTTCCTCAGAGGAAGACCCAAGAGGTGGAAACTATGGAAGGGGGAGTTCTTCCCTCTTTTATAGCTAAGGTTTACTTTCAGGTTTCCTGCATTCCTGTCGCATGTATTCCTTTAATTCTATCTTTTCTTCTTTACTTACTGCCAGACTTTTCCCTTACATAAATTTTGATCTCCCAGTAGTACAGCTTATATAGGAAGAATACATGCTTAATTATTTCCCTTTATTTGCTAATTTTCAACATAAAGAATTGGTCACTAAATATTCTAAATGACAATTGAGTTTGTGATTTTGTTTCTAGTATCATAATGAACTCATGGAGTTACATTGGTGATTAAATCCCTAATCTATGATATATATGGTTTGAATTAGTAACTTAAAGAGATCTTAAGTAACTTATTCAATATATAGCTATCTTATTCAAAGCAACAGATAAAAACACTTTCTGATATAAACTAAAGAAAGGAAGCAGGGTTGTAGCTGAGATTCTCAATAAAGCCAGGGGAGCACAGTTTGAGGGTACATCTCAGAAACTGGGTATTTTTGAGATTTGAAACATGATAACTACTGTGATTCTTAAAAAGTCACATCTGGTTGGGTGTGGTGGCTCATGCCTGTGATACCAGTGCTCCGGAGACTAAGGCAGGAGAATCACAAGTTTGAAGTCAGCCTCAGCAACTTTATGAGACCTGAAATAACTTAGAGAGACCTCATCTCAAAATAAAAAATAAAAAGGGCTGAGGGTATAATCATGGTAAATCCCCTGGGTTCAATCTCCAGTATCCACTACCAAAGTCACATCTGAGAGGGAACCATCCATAATCCAAAGGTATAACTCCATGGATGAAAATTCAACATTTCAGCTCCAGAGTTGAGAAGATTCTGAGGAGGTGTGTGTGTGTGTGTGCACACATGCCTGCACGTACACATGTGTGCCTGTACACGCATGTGGTCATGTGTCTTCTTAGTGGTCCTAAATCAAAAAGTTTCCTATATGCAACACCAGCTCTTCCATCACACATATATCTCTACACACCCAAATCAATTGAGCCTCTTCCTAAGATTGCTGGCAGTAAGGAAAGAACATTCCAGGCAGAGGGGATAGGATGGACAAAGGTGTAGATATGTGTTTGGAGAACTTCCAAGTGCACATGGTGGTGAAGTGGTGGTGGTGGGGTTGAAAAGACAAGGTGAGTTTCCAGTCCATGAAGTCCTATGTCCTTTGCTGAAGGGTTTAGGTCCAATCCCATAAAAGATGAAGAGCTGTTAAAGCATTCAAACAAAAGGGTTATGTGATAATATTTGAACTTTAGAGAATTTGTAGTGATGTCTGGTGTGGGTGGCACAGCTATTAGATCTTCCTTTCCAATGCCTTCCCTTAGTTTCTCACTACTTTTGAGAAATTATGAAATTAATTTAGTCATTAAAAAAATATTTACTGAACCCTTGCCATGTGCCAGGTGCTAGGATGGCCGCTCAAGCTAGGAAAAAGAATAAGATCCATGCCAGCCTCCTCAAGGAGTTCACCGTCTCATCTGAATATAGATAAGTACATAGACAATTACAATACACTGTGATAAACGATGAGCTGATCAGTGCTGGATGTTAAGGAAACAGCCAGGATGGTGTTTACCTAGGCTGGAAGAATCTGCTTAGGCTGAGCCTTTGTCAGTCAGGCATATTCACTGAAAATTCTATTGAACTCAAAATTGGTCTAACTAGTCTAGATCTTAAGCTGTAGGAGTAGTTTCTGCTGATCAGATAAACAATGTGTGTGTGTGTGTGTTTCAAGGCAGGATATGAGTGTTGTAGGGCAACTGGAAATTAAAAAACTAAAGTCATTGGATTCTACAACATTTATTGTATACAGAGTAATAAGTTTTCTAGATGGAACAGATTTTAGAAAATGATATTATATCTGAAAAAATTATAATTAATGCATTCTTCAAAATGTATAAATGTAAAATATTATGGTTGCCACTCTATTAATCTGTACTCAAAACAAATATCCATTGTTAAACCCAGAGTCTGGAATGCAGTAACTTTTGATAAATATGTTTCCTTAGGACTTATTATCAAGGACTGATTTACATTAGGTCTAGTCTACAAGTAAACATATTTTTATCAGTTTATATTGATAGATTTTAAAACAAGCCTAAAATTCTGTGTTAGAGGGGGACAAATTTTTACATCACACCTTTTATTGTAATATTGGTATAACTGCACTCTGTTTTTTATATTTTCTGGCAACGCACACACACTCTTGCATTTATCAAACACTAAGAAGTTACAGTATTCCAGACATGACATTAGGCACCAAGGATTTAAAAAGCTCAAACCTCCCCAGTGCAATGACTCATGCCTATAGTCCCAGCAACTCAGAAGGCTAAAATAGGAGGATATCAAGTTCAAGGTCAGCCTTGACATTTTAGCGAGACCCTATTTTAAAATAAAGAATTTTAAAAGGTGGGGGATATAGTTCAGTGATAAAGTGCCCCTGGGTTCAAACCCCAGTACTTAAATAAATAAATAAAAAGCTCGAACCTCAGACTTTTCTTGGAAGATCTCATAATCTGCTTGGAAGACAAAGCAATTAACAAATAATTACATTGTTGTGGGATTAAAGATGTATAAAGGGTTATAGGAACCTAGAGGATAAAGAACTTGTTTCTGTAAGAAGGGGACAGAAAAGCTCTGAAACAGCTGCAAAGAGGGTGAGTGGAGTCAGTTTCCTGGATAAACAGTAAGGAAAGAACATTCCAGGCAGAGGGAATAGGATGGGCAAAGGTGTAGATATGTGTTTGGAGAACTTCCAAGTGCACATGGTGCTCAGGCAGACAGGGAAGTGGTGGGGGGTGGGGTGAGTTTCCAGTCCAAGAAAGTCCTATGTCCTTTGCTGAAGGGTTTAGGTCCAGTCCCATAAAAGATGAAGAGCTGTTAAAGCATTCAAACAAAAGGGTTATGTGATAAGATTTGGACTTTAGAGAATTTGTAGTGATGTCTGGTGTGGGTGGCACAGCTATTAGATCTTCCTTTCCAGTGCCTTCCCCAAGCAATTACTTCAATATTGATGCTTCCACTAAGACTTTGAAGTCCTTTTCACATTTTAACCAAATGATTCCTCCCACTTCTCAACATTTCTTGAAATCAAGATCTCAAGTCTCTCCTGAAAGAAGCATCATAATTTCAGGCCATAGTCAGTTCAGTGTATCAATAAATATTAATGAATGATATCTATGTCATCCTTGCTTGTCACTGTGTGGATACAACTGATGGGATAACATGGATCACCTGAAGGTCCTACTCCCCACAGCTTTTAAAGTCTTCTGTCTTTATTTCTGGGCTCCAGAGACCCTGCATACAATCTGCCCAATTCATACCCAGATAATTCAATTCACATCTTAAGCTTGAGATCCTATCAGATGTTCAAGTGGAAAGTTTCATGAGGTATACACATCTGTGTGCACACCTGGAGTTTAGGGGAGAGATTCAAGATGCCCATGCACACCTGGGAATGATCCACATATAAATGGGACTGCTATGGCTTGAATATGGTTTTTTCCTCTCCAAAATTCATGTTTTGTATACCAATGTAATGGTTGAGGGGAACCTTAAGAGGTGTTTGGTTGTGAGGGCTCTGCCCTCATGAAGGAATTAAATGCCACACTTATAGACTGGGTTAATTCTTGAGGAAGTGAGCAAGTTCTAGTTCTCAAGGAATTGCAGGTTATTATAAAGGGAGGCCACCCCTCCTATTTTACCTCTTCTGCACAAGCCTACTTGCCCTTCTGCTTTTTGGCCATGAGATGAAGTTGCATAAGGCCCTTGCCAGATGCTAGCACCATGCTCTTGAATTTCCAGCCTCCAGAACTGTGGGTTAAATAAACATCTTTATTTTATAAATTACCCAGTCTCAGGCCTATTAGAGCAACAGAAAGTGGACTGAGCACTTGGTGCAGTGGCACACACCTATAATCCCAGAGACTCAGGAGGCTGAGTCAGCAGGATCTCAAGTTCAAGGCCAGCCTCAGCAACTTAGTGAGACCCAGTCTCAAAATAAAATTTAAAAAGGATTGAGGATGTATCTAGTGGTAAAGCATCTCTGGGTTCAATCCCCAGCACCAGGGGAAAAAAAAAAAAAAGACTAAGCCAGTGGTCAGATGAGATCACCTATATAAACAGCAAAAAGCTTAAGAACTGAACCCTGGAGCCCTAAAGATTTAAGAGGCTGAAGAGATGAAGAGTAACCAGCAAGGCAACAAAGAAGGAGCAGCCACTGGAAGAGAAGGAAAGTTGGTAATGTCCCACATTTACTGACAGATTCTTCACAATGGGATGAAGATGGAGGGTGCTGAATTCAAATGAATCCTGATTTAAATCTCAGTCATGCATTTGATGCTAAATGATTTTTATACTTCATATTTGCCACTGAATCTACTATAAGACCTGAAAAGTATTTGTTCACTGAGTAATTATTGAATATGTATCACTGCATTATGGGCAGGGAGCTCACAGCCAGAAGTGGGGGACAGTCATAGAAGATGTCTCAGCTTTCCATCACTATAAGAAAAATAAACTTGAGCTAAATCAATTTAGAGAAAAGGGTTATTTGGGCTCACAGTTTTGGAAGTTTCAATTCATGATTGGTTGAGCCCTTTGCTTTAGGGCCTTTGGTGAGGCCACACTTAATTGTGGGGGTTATATGGCAAAGCAAAACCATTCACCTCCTGGCCAGTAAGTAAAAGAGAATAAGAAGGTGTCCCTTTCTAGGACACACGGCCAATGACATGAAGTTCTCCCCTGAGGCTACACCTCTTAAAGATGAGTATGATTTTCCTTGTTCATCTTAAACACATCAACTGGCCTAAGAAAATTATGACTTTTTGGAACACCATCAATCTATGTGATGATTTATGAGAATTTTTTTTTCTTCTAGATACAAGGAGAAAAAATTTCTCAAAATATATACACATTGTGGTCCTACTTTATTTTTTGCAGAGGAGCAAACTCAGGGCCTAGAAAAATGCTAGGAAAGCACTCTACCTCTACACTACATCCCCAGCCCTGTGGTCTTACTTGTAAAAATTAATAATTACAATCTTAAATGAAATTGAGTCTATAATTGCCAATTAGCCTAAATCAATATTCCCCCACTTTTGACTGTTATCAATTGACTCATCAGTGCAGCCTGACATCTCAGCCCCAACTACACTGCCTATTACATCCGGTATGGTAGTTGTCAGAGATCTTAATCATTTTCCCTTGAGCAATAATTTA